AGCTTCACAGGTTGCCACTGGAGTCCTCTTCCACTCCTCCATGACGACATCACGGAGCTGGTGGATGTTAGAGACTTTGCGCTCCTCCACCTTCCGTTTGAGGGTGTCCCACAGATGCTCAATAGGATTTAGGTCTGGAGACATGCTTGGGAAATCCATCACCTTTACCCTCAGCTTCTTTAGCAAGGCAGTTGGAGTTGGTTCACCCTCCACCTATGGGTAAATAGATTTGTTCATAACCTTAAACACAAGCAATAATAATGTTGGTTGCGGTAAACACGCCTAAAATCTCTACAAACATTCGCCTTCATCTGTGTCGATTTTGTATCAGAGGGAGTGAGTCTTAAAATACACACTGTAAAAAATGACCGCGAATTTAACGGTAAAAGACTGTAAAAATGCTACAGTAAAAACCTGTTAAATGGTTAACGGTAAATTCCCCAACTATATATGGTGAAAACCTGTATTGTACATTACATGTAATTTTACGGTAGTATACCGTTTTTGGAAGTGGAAAAAGACCATATAATTTACAGTGAATAACTGTAAATTGACATACCCAGAATTCCCTGCATTACATTTCAAATTTGATGTTTTTTTTGTTGAAATAACTATGTTTCTTCTTAGTTTTTTCTTATCAGTTTTGTATATTAGGTTTGTATGTTACACCTAATGTTGTTAAATTAATGTTTATTGCATTATTTCAGTTTCATGTGTGTTACCATGATGGTGTTTAATGTTTGTGTGAATGACACTGTGCACCTTCTATACATGTTATTATGTAAAAGCTGCTTGTGATGGGCTTTGGTTCATCATGTGACTTTCTCATCACCACCTGCATTTGTTGGTTATAAGTGTATCACAAAGGTACAAAACAGATTTCAGTACTTCAATAGTTTGGTATATTAACATTATTTCAGTTAATGAAATTACGGTATTTAACTGTAAATTAAAGTTTAAACCATAAAACCTAAAATGTTGCTACCGTATTTTTTACGGTAAAATTCCGGCAACCACAGCTGCTGTTTTTTTACCGTAAGTTTTACAGAATTTTTTTTACAGTGTATATATGTGAGCTCTAGAGAAAAAAATACACTTTGTGGATCCTAGATGAAGTTCCTATGGAAAAAAAAAACAGTTTAAAAAGAGGCAAGTATATATAAAAACAAGTATAATTCAATATCTAAAGCTACTTGCATTTGGACCTCTGTTGTAACATGATTCATCAAGATTAGTTTGAAACCCTTTGGATACTAAAAGGCAATTTTCTGTAAACGAGAGCGTTGATGATTTTGTTAAATGAGTAAATAAAAAAAAAATTATTGTGACTCAGTTATATAAGATGTGAAAAGAGCTGTTGACTGTGGCATTTCTGTAGTAATGCCACATTTAAAATGGCCGCCTGAGGATAGTTCGCAATATTTCCAGTTGATAGTCATGGATCATGTCAAAGCACAGGCTTGTTCAAATTTATTAAGAAAATATTTAACCATTAATCTCCGGTCAGAAGCACAGTCATACTCAGAAGGCCTTCTTGCTTTCACCCAATAAGGGCTTGTCAGTTATGTGTCACAATATCCTGCTGCATGTGTGTGTGTGTGTGTGTGTGTGTGTGTGTGTGTGTGTGAATTTGGAGGGGGCAACAAATCAACAAAAAGAATTCAAAATAAAGAAGATCAGCAGTAAAGCGTTCGGCTCATCACAAATGAGCAAAATCTTATCTTTGTTCCACTCCTAAATTTATCCTGACATTTTGCAATGCTTAGCATAAATTGTAGAGAGCAAAGAGGATTCAGAGAACCGTTAATGCATGATGATTTAGGTCTAATTTTAGCCTTAGCTCTGATGCAAGGACGTAAAACAGCCTTGCCCGCGTAGGCTTTAAAAAATATTTCTTGCTTAATTTTTAGACTTTTTTTGAAAGCACAATAATAATTTTCTACTTTTCGCATTGTGTGATTACCACCTTTAAAAAATGCACATATTTATGAATATTAATGTTTAATCAGTTCAAAGGCGAGTGTGTGTGTAAAGTATCTGCAGTGGCAATGCATGTATGAATTGCTTTATATCGCGCTGCAGCATAGACGTCATGCCATATGTATCTAGAAGTCTATAAATACACTAAAACTTAGTGTAATAGCTATAAATAACAGTGTCATTTTTTTCTCTCTAATAAACCTCATTTCTGTTCATGGAAACTGTGATAGTAAAAGAAAAAAATATTTGTGCACTAAAAATCTCAGTTGTATTCATAAGTATTTTATGCAAATGTACATTTTCGTACATTTACATGTACAATACTAACAATACTGTCAGCATATAAAACAAACTTCCGAGACAAAAATCTTTATGAACCCTCTAAAGACAGAAGCAAATGATCCAGAAACTGAGACCTTTTTATCTACAAATTTATTAATAAATAAAATCCAGGTGGGGTTAATCAAAGTAAATTCATTTGTGCTGTTCATATGGCTGAAGTTAATTATCAGCAAACCTTAATAGCAATGAAATGTAAGTTAAACGCACATAGAGCTGTTTATACATAAAACATATCGATATCTTAGAAACCGTCTCTCCATGTTGATATTGATGTATCAGTCTATCCGAACGGCAAAAAATATGTGGTAGAACCACACTTTCCGCTCCAACACCTACGAATATGGATGCGATCACGTTTACGAGTCAAAATTATGAGTCAAAATCAGAACATCCCTAGCAAACCTCAAGATTTGAGTACGTGTTGCACAAAAAAAAAAAAAAACTTACAAAATTGTGCTACATTGGCAGTTTCATTTGAAATCGGAGATTAGGAAAGAAAAATGGCACTGTTTCCATGCACGCTTATCTGCTTTAATCCAGTTCTGAGTGTGCCGTGTTCCCTAAATCTACTCCACGGAGGTTTGCTACACTGTCAGCTTTTCCATCCATCTGTTGTGAAGACCTCGCTATTGCCTCCACGATGCCATAGATTGGCTATTTAATGCTTGCCTCCTCTGCCTTACGACACTGCAGCCACAGGTTTCATCCCAAACATACATCCACACATACGCACACAAAGCCCCGAGGGAAGAGTGTGGCATCTGCCCCGGCCTCCGTGCCAAAACAAGGGGAAAGAAAAACCCTACTGCTCAGAGCGACAGCCTGCCGGTCAAGCGCGCTGAGGACCCTGGCAGGCATCACGGTTCAGCTGAGAGATGCTGATAATATCCACCCGGGTTCGCCTGTGGACACCTTCAAAGAATGCCATTTCTCCAGAAAAACGGCCTGGGCCCTAAAAGCAGCCTGGTGTGTGAGCGCAATATGCCTTGAGACCGAGCATTATCTGTTGCTGAAGGAGGCCTAACCTCATTACGCTGCACTCGCTGTATGAGATGTCTGAGGAGTTAATGGAGGTTATTAGATTCGACCCCTCGATTTGGGTCTCAGGCAGCCACTGTAATTATTTCGGTGGGACTGATGGATGACGAAGTGGAGCTGAAGGTTTCGCTTGTCATTTTGGTCAGTCAGGTTTCATAAAGACAGCAAATGATGATTCACACGTGGGAACCAAAAACTATCATTCGCAGAGTGTGAAGGCGCAAGGTGTTCTCAATTTCAGGGCCAACGAAAAAAAAAAAACGGCAAGACAGAGCACATGTAACTCTGCAATGTCTCAGGCAGTTCACCAGATTTTCAATCATCTAACAATTCATACAAAAACTTCAACAGAAGCTTCCAACAGGGGTCATCCAATCAGCATTTAACGCAAGTGCGCACAGGAACTGTTTTGCACGTTTTGACGGGAAAGCAGGATGGAGTGGAAGATATAGACAATTTAGGCCCACCTTCGAATTACAGACTTATGCAGTACATTTCATTGCCATTTTATTGCATTCGACCCTGTTTTGTGAAGAAGTTCAGAAGATCTCCAAGAAGGTCATGAGCTGGAGCTAATTGCTTAGGACCATCACTTGACCAGCTTAAATAAGCTCATAACCAACTTATAACCGGCTCAGGACCAGCTTAAACCAGCTCATGACCAACTAAGGACCATCTGAAACCAGCTGCCATGCTTCAAAACATACCTAACCAGCATATGCTGGTTTTTCAACAGGGCAGTGCAAACTGATGTCATAAGTGGGCTAATTGCTTCATAATTTAGCTTTAATGAGGGTTACATTTACACATGTTGAAATACGATGTAAACAGCCAGTACAAGGTGTAAATTGGCAATTTACAGCAGCTTCGAACATACAATAATTTGAGTCAGTGTTCAAGAGACCCTTTAAAATCTTGCAAAACCAGTCGAAGATTGAGTTGCTCTGCAGAATCTTGGTGGTCTTCTTCGATCTCTTGCTACATATTTCAGTTGATTTAAGGTCACATTTGTACATACCCTATATATAGGCAATTTACAACAGCTTTGGACAATCATATTTTTGAGACAGTATTCTAGAGACTAACCTGCAAAACCAGTTGTAAGTTTGGGTTGCTTTACAGAACTTTTGGTGGTCTCCTTTGATCTCTTGATGCTTTGCAGAGAAGCCCAGAAGATCTGCAAGAAAGTTGGGCACAATGCAAAATGATGTTGCAACTTGACCAGTAGGCTACTACATCATTTAATTTGGTTTAAGGTCACATTTGCATGTACCATCTATATTGGCAATTTGCAATGACTTTGGGCATACAATCAGATTTCTGAGACAGTATTCAAGTGACCCTTTAAAACCATGCAAAACCAGTTGCAAGTTTAGGTTGTTTTGCAGAACATTTAGTGGTACCCTGTTTACAATGGCTTCAAATATATAATACTATTTTTGAGATACTTTGCAAAACCTTGCAAAACCAGTTGTAAGATTGGGTTTCTTTTGCTGAATTTTTGGTTGCCTCATTTAATCTCTTGATGCCTCACTGAGAAGCCCCGAAGATTTCCAAGAAGGTTAGGCCCAATACAAAGTGATGTTGCAACTTAACATATTACTAAAAAATGTAATTGATGTGTGGTTACTGGTCTGAATACAATGGCGACTGCAACGGCCTTGAACAGGCTCGTACAGTCTGATTTAAGAGGTTAATCAAGAGAATGTTGGGTTGCTTTGCAGAACTTTTGGTGGTGTCTTTCTGTCTCTGCCTTTCGGCGAAGCCTTGAAGATTTCCAAGAAGGTTAAATCTGTAATAGTCATACAGTCAGAGGACAGGTACGGTTGAATGGGATAAACCCTCAAAAGCACTTACATCAACGATAGAAAGGTGTTCACGGGCTCATTTATGTCACACTGAGCTGTGCTTGAGAGAAATGTGTGCAAGAAATGTGTGCAAGAAGGTGTCACGTTCCAGTTCTCAGTCTTTAAGCATTTCAAAGCTGACCTACTTGATGCAAAGCTTCAGGCTGACTTTTTGACTTAATAAGTTGTAGTTTTATTAATGATTGCAACATCTTAAAACTAAGCTCTGGGTTGACCGTGCACACTTCAATTTGCTATTACACTTTAAGAATGAGCTGCAAACTGTTGTCTCAAAGGGGCCGTAGTAATCCTGGGAACATGGCATGTGCTCTGCAGAGAGGATCCAGAGTAGATCCAGGTCAGCTGCGAGGTCTCAGCTGTAGTAATAGGCTTCACCTGTCATCGGAATGAGGCCCTCCCGCCTGGCACACACACGCCCCTCACCCACCAACCCCAGTAGATATCAACTTAACCAGCCCACTCATGTGTATCCTGCTTCGAAAAACACTCCGTCTGCCAGCTTCTGTTACTCCCCCCATTTTTCTCTCTTGCTCCCCCCCCCCTCTTTCCTGCTATCGTTTGAGTCGCATCAACCAATCAGCTGTATATCTCACATCTGAAGCCCTGAAGGTGTAAATTAAAGAGAGTGATGCATCCTGGGTGGCTGCATTCAAAAAATGTCTTCAGTGAACTGAGCGAATGTTTTAAGAGTGTATTCTCCCATGAAACAATGTCTCTGACGGATATAATGCACGCAAACCTTTCAACTTAGAATTTTACATTTAAATGTGATACAATTCCATTTTAAGAGATGAAAATTTCATTTTTCAATTTAAATGATTTTTTAAGAGTGTACTTTTCCAATGGACAAAGTCTCTGATGGACATAATGCATGCAAACTTAGATTTAAAATCAGATTTTTTTTTTCATTTAAATTTGATACAATTAAATTTTAAGAGTTAAAAAAAAAAAAATTAATTCTCAAATTTGAATTCAAATAGTTAGAGCGCACCAATGGATGATGTCTCTAATGGATGTAATGCATGGCAGCTTTTAAAACGGGAATATATATTTAAATTTGATACAATTCCAAAACTGAAAATTTTATTTTCAAATTTAAAGGGTTAAAATGGAAATTCGAATTTAAATTTAAAATTCCAATTTTAAAATTCTAAATGTAAAGGTATGTAATTTCTGCTCTACTATTGCAAAAGTAATGACTGCTTTCAAACAGGTTTCTCAAACCTCCTGTTATTGGTCTGCAAACAAAAAGCCACGCCCCAAACTCATGCCATTGGTTATTCTTTAGTTTGGGTTATACATATCAATTTTGCTTGGTTGGAACAGCAGCTACGCTAATTATGTCTCTATTTGTTTCTCTGTTTTTTTGCCACGGTAGGATTTACACAAGCTTCAGTCTGGATCCAGAACACCTGAGAAGAGATGATGCCAACCCCTCAGAGGACCTCAGATGATGCCAACCCTGAAACAACACACAGAACTACCACATTTTGCTATAAGTTTGATTGCATCATATAATAATTGCTGTTAATAGTGTTCATCGTCTGTTTGATTACGTCTTTAATTGATTTTTCCGTACATTTCTGCCATATGTACATTAACTGACAGTCACCACTGATAAGCTACCACTAAATATTGTAGAAACTTAATTTGCTGTAAAGTTGCTTTGCAATGATTTGTATCGTGAAAAGCGCTGTACAAATAAACTTGACTTGACTTGACTTGGTTGAGCCACTGTTGCTATGCTGTTTTGAAAACACTTTTGTGTTTACATTTTTCAGCAGAATCCACCTAAAAACTGGCTCACTTAGTTGTCTCTACATATTAAGCTCGGATAGAGTATTACACATCAAAAAAATTACACACTTCAGCTTTAAATTTTACATTTACATTACACACTTCAGATCCTTTAATTCCATGTCAATGCTTTTTGCATACATGTTTGTATCTAATAGGATATATTTAGTATTTAGGTTTAGTTAAGCGCTCACACAGTCCTATGCAATTGAATTAAACCTCATTCCGCTAGTGTCAGTATATATGCACATTTAGCCACTTCAAGCTCTACTCTCATACTTGATCTGTCAAAATGCTTTGTCTTGCATTTTCGAAGTCTCTGCTTCAGTGCTTTGAACATTTGTGGATATTTAGGCAACACAGAACAAGACCAAAATGCTAACGACAAAAATCCACGCGAGGCTGTCTGACCAAGTTTAATCGCACTCCTCCAGAGCTGAATGTGATAGAAAAGCAGCTCAGTTGACTCAAAGAGCTGAGAGGAACTCTGGGAGTGTAAGGATAAAGGGATACATCACCCTGCAGTCTTTCCCATTTTTGCACCGAAACAGCTACGCTGCTGCATTTCCAGTCTGTACGCTGCTTAATAATTCAACTGTTTGTACCTGTGAAGTGACGGGGTCTCATTCCGAGGCCCTAAACTAATGTATAATTAAATGGCAAGCCAGGATCTCCTTATAGATTCAGCCTGCCAGAGCCATAATGGCACCACCTGGAATGTTTATAGTGTTAAGAATGTTTGATTTTTTTTAATTTTTTTACCTAGATTATTTCAGTTTTGCGAGTAAAAATGTTTGAAGATGCTTACCAGGTCCTTTGATTCCTTTTATTCTTAAACTCAAGAAGTTTGTTTACTGCGTTGATGTATTTCCTATTTAAACTCGCAAGAAGCGAGACTTATCAAAGGGGTTCTGCTTTTTTGCTAGCATTAGCAAGTAGCAAATAGGCTGAGTCTCATTTCGAAGGCTGCATCCTTCGGAGGTCGCATTTATCAGCCGCGTGCACTATCAATTCAGAAAAGTAACATTACATGCCAAAGTAAGAAAGAAATTACAGTAATTTACGCCTCACAAAGAATAATAGACAATTTCATAATTGTTACTTTTTTAAACGAGACATCTCCGATGATGTATGCGACCAAAAAATGAGAACACTCTAGGTTGATTTCAAATTAGCATACTACACTTACCATTTCTACCATATATACAAAAAGGTGAATCACATTACAAACTTTGATCTGAAGCAAAAAAGTATTCGAAAACTAAAAAAGACAAGACTGTGTATTTAACGCTTTATTGAGGGAAAAACTACAATCCCATGAAGCATTGTGAATGACAATCAAATTAAAAACAACAGAGTAGTTTGAGAGCATAGGGAGATTGACTTCATTTGCAGTGCTTCATGGGAGTGGGCAGAGCTAAAGAGTTCTTTTGGCATAATTAGCTTGTTTCAATTCTCTGATTAGTGAAGATTTCTCTGTAGAATTATGGGTAATGTAGTTTTTCACCAGGAATCTCACTATTTCATTATTATTAAAAAATAAATAGGTTGAAGTAATGTGGATTGATGACTGATTAACAACCTTGTAGCTCACAGTTGGTCTGTCTTTAGTGGTTTAGGTTCTTGTTAAAAATCAGTTTGCATATGGAGAAAACTAAATGGATTATTACTTCTAGATCCCAACTGTTGCACTCTATTGGGGGAGGCACCTTTTAAATCTAGAGAGCATTTGATTGGACAAAAGATTTGTACACGCCACTGAGTGCAGGCTGAGTCATTAGAATTTTTCAGATATTTTCCCAGCTTTTTGTCAACTTTTAGGAGTACATTAGCATATCAACAGCCCCAAAGCTAACAGAAGTGCACTAACAGCCACAAATGTCTAATTTAGATTCAGACTCTAAGCATTCAGAAGGTTATTCATCTTTTGTCGAGGCACTGAATGAAACTAAATCCTTCTATCACAATAACCAACATTTGCAAAATACATCTCTCTTTGGTTTCAAATCAAGCCCAGGATGTTCCCTCTGTTTTAGATGTACGGAAAAAAGCATGACAGATGCAGGTTAGCTAGCGCTGCTCAGATCTTTGCATCTGTCCTACACCGAGCTCTAATATCTCCACCTTGCAGGCAGCAACAGGGGCGGCTTAGAGCTGTGTGCTCTTCTCTGAGCTGACTGTGAAGTTAAGACTGTAGTGTCAGTCCTTCTTTTCTGTCTTTCCCCCCCTTTAAGAACGAATGTGTGGAGTTGGTAAGTGAACACATTACGCCGGGAGCTGGGAGAGCCAGATAAGAACCTCAAAGCAGATCTATATGACCGAGAGTGAGCAGGCAATCTGGAGAATAGGAACTTGACGAATCATATGGATTTCGCAGCACAGATTTTCACGAGGAGTGTGTAACGAGCTACTGAGTCGTCCTATTAGCATAATGTTAATGGTGAAAGTGGAGGAGTAGATAAATAGCAGAGCATTACTCTGGTTAAATCTCTTTTCTGAAGGAGCCAGATGC